ATACTGAATGGATGTTTGCTGACAACATTACATCCAGTTCAAAATATACTGTTGTGCCCTCCAGGTGGCCTCTATGCCTGAGATGAGATAATTAAGATTCTGTTACTTTCCCACAATTACAATAAAACACCTTTAGACATTCATCTGCTTTTGACATATTTATTGCTTTACAACTGTTGACCTTATAACCTTGTTATTTAGTTTTTCACTTTGCATAACTTAAACATCATTGTTACATATTAATTTGCTGTTAAATCCCTGTCTATAAGTTTAGAACCACCATTCCAATCTATTTGAAAAAGTGTGCCTTGCACACGAAAGCTCATACCTTGAATAAACTTTTGTTGGACTTAAAGGTGCCACTGGACTCTAAATTTGTTCTACTGCTTGAGATCAAAACGGCTGACTACCTGGATCTATAAGAACCACAAAATCTCTACACAACTGTATTGAACTATAGTGAGTTAGGAACCTCAAATCAGTTTAGTGGTGCTAAGAAACATTATAAATGGCCTATATTAGATCAGACATTTCCTGGAAGACACATCTAGAGGCTGCTCTTAGACTGGCAAACAACTCTGCAAGTGCTATTACTTTATGCTTTTCAGCTCTGGCTCTCAGTATGTTCCTGCTGTCCTCACAGCTTTTAAGGCTAAAGTTGTTGCTCAACTAAAGTTGTTGCTTCAATTTGGATTGAAACATGTAATGAAGATCTGGATAAACCACTGCTGAAAGTTTTTGCAATAGATTTCTGGAATCCTTAAACATGTGTCTGGAGTAGCACTGTGGTCCAAATTTAGCCTGAAATCCCTTAAACCTCAAAGCTTGGATCAGAGCTCTCAAATGGAAGCTCAAAACTTTAAGAGTTACTCCTTCTGAGGGACTCTTATATTTAGTAAAACAAGATAAATCTTATACTGCTGGGGATGAATTGTTGGACTCCAAACTACATTATCTCAAGATCTCTCTGGATATTATCTTCTACTGGGACATCAAAAAACTTTTCAATACAGTGAAAGAACACATTGAGAAGCTTGATTATTTAAGTACCACTCCGAAGTCCAGACGTACCTGCTCCTCAGCTGCAAATGGAATTCCACCTCCCCAAAAGATGGTGGATTATATGAAAAATTTAACAGCTTCAAAATATAGAAGAGCTTTTATCCTCGGATTTCTAAATGGGTTAAAAAATCAGCAGGCGTTGTGTAAAGCAACCAAATTCAGAAAGGCTATGCCTGTGCGGCAGTGGGAAAATAGAGACTATAGATCATATCCTACTTGACTGCTGTATCTATTCAGAGTACAGAACTGAGTTTATTATCCCTCTTAAAGGTTTGTCCACTGTGTCACAACTGCTAGGGTGACATGGCTTTTGAGAAATAAACAAAAAAGTCACTCTGGCCAAATTCTTTTCAAATGTTGTGGCTCATTGTACAGCTGTTCAGAACCAATAGGTTGATGGAACAGTAATTTTATCATCGTTAAACCAGCATAGACCATGGTGTATATTTCAGAATAACCTGGGCAAGAGAGGATTGCCACATTTCCTTAAAATTACTTTCAAATTTCGGGGGGGGGGGAGAAGATTACAGTTTTCTGGATAGAGATGAAGGTTTAAAGAAATGATGAGTGACATTCAATCTTGAGTTTACCTAATGCTATAACATAAGGGACTGTGAAGCCTAAATATTATTTCTGATTAAAATGGAGCATTTTCTTTGCACATATAGTTTTGTGAGAGTGGTCTCTCCTCTTGCTGAGTCTTTCAAATAATCAGTGCAAAATACAATAAATATTGTTGTTATTCAGATATTATTTATTTTATTTATTTATACATTAGATTTGTGAATCACTCAATCCCTGAGTTCACAGGGCTCTGGGCGATGTACAACAAAGTTAAAAAACATCAACATGACATTGTTAAAATCAGTAAATCATTTATTCCTATATTATTCATAATCTCAAAATGGCATTGATTTAATCCTAAACCCCATACCACTCTGTGTTGCCATCTTGTGGGCAGGGCAAGAAGAAGGCCAAGAGAGAAGGTGGGGGAAAAGAGGAGGGTACAAGCCATGATGGAAACCATTGCTGTCCTCAACCAAAGCTGCCTTACAGGCCCTGTGGTACTGCAATGTTCTGCAGGGACTTGATGGTATTTGGCAGAGAGTTCCATCAGGTCAGAGCCAGGACTGAAAAAGCCCTGGCTTAAGTCAAGGACAGCTGGATAACTTTGGGGCTAGGGATCACCAGTAGATTGTTGTCAGTGCAGCGCTTTGCCAGGGACATTCTGGAGGAGGTGGTCCTGAAGATATGCAGGTCCCAGACTACTCAAATGGAATCCAGAATCTTCCTCTAAGCAAGTACTTTTTTTGAGAACATCAGATTTTTCTAGTGTACATATCATTCTGGGGGGGGGGAGGACTATAATCTTCCCCCTGCTGATGGAGCCATGGAAATTAAGAGTGCTCTTAGAATGTAGTTATATGAGTGCCATAGGAATATATTATACAAGAAGCAGCAACCTGCAATACTCATGGGGGGGGAGCTCCACGCAGAGGAGGAAGCCGCTGCAGGTGAGCCTTCTCCCCTGCCCCTGCCTGGCCCTGACGGCGAGGTCCGTGCAGCTCTGAGCCGCCGGGCCCGCCAAACCTCCCCCACCCCCCCGGCAACAGCGGTGAGGCTCATGCAGCTCCAAGCTGCCGGGCCCGCCAAACCTCCCCCGCCGCCACAGCAATAGCAGCAAGGCCTGAGCTCGGCCCACTAAGCCTTCTCCCTCCGCCCTCCCCTAGCAGCAGTGGCAAGGCCTGACTGGCTTGCCAAGCTTTCTCTCCCCCCAGTGGCGGTGGGGGCTGAGCAGCTCACAGCTGTTAGCTTGCCAAGCCTTCAGTTCTCAGAGCATTATCTGTACATGTGCAGGAAATGCTCTTTTACTTTTGGGGGGATTTAAGTATCCTCCCTATAGTTTTTTATAGATTTCACATTTTTCTGCATATCTGGGGATTGCCCCAAATGTGCAGGAAAATCTCTTTGCCCCCTAGGTGCCCCTGATGTGCGGATTTAGATATCTACACGCGGGGGGCGCCTTGGCTATTAGATATATAGGTATCAATTAGTATCCACAATATGCCTGCTTAGTGATGCTTTCACAGAATCCACTACCACATGTATTCTGTGGTGCAACAGCACACAGCTGACGAACACTTGAGTTGACACTAAAGGCAAAATATGGAGATTTTTTTTCTTATAAATTTTACTCCTAAAACCCTCATGCTATGGGCTGCAATTGTACAGCTTTAAAAAATACAGTGAATAGGGAATAACAACATGGTGCTGCTTGTAAGGCTCTAGAATAGATATCTTACCTCATTACATATGGATTGAATATCAAATTATTGCCTTTGAATCTGAACTTGCAGAACTATTCTTTAAAAGTAGTATAGGTACACTTCAACTGATTGTCAGGGTAAATGGCAAAACATGTAATATCACCATATATATTTTATTAATATAGAGATACTGTGATTGTCTTTATAGACAGAGGCTGAAAATGGAAGATATGCCTATCAGAACTAGACTATTTAAAGCAATTTGTAATATTGCCCAAACCCACTAGCCTACTAATGGTTGTTTTAGAATTAACTGAGAATTTTGGTGTCTATTTTAACTAGGCATATTGAATTGTATATTACCACATATATAGAGCTTAGGACTGAAGAAGTAAAGTAAGCTGCCATTCTGGTGAAGATAAATATCATAATAAAAAGCCTCAAATGGGTTTCTCAGCCTTTGTGTAAACTTGGCTTTCTTGCCATTCTTACTTGAAAGGACAAATGTGCATACTAACAAATCAACTACTGGTCTAACTAAGTTCTACTCAAATTATAAGCCTTCATGTGGCTTGTGAGGCAAATCTTTTTCTGGTGGGGCTGAAGTTCTCAGTGCAGAAAGAAAAGCTTAGCCAATAGAAAGCTGTTATCAGGATAGATCTCTAAACTGCAAGCTGTCAATCACTTTAGATGACAGTTCTCAGCTGCTGCAAGTTAATCACTTCTCCCAACCTAAGCGACAATTCTGATAATAAGATGGCAGGTGGGAGTGATGACTTCTATAGTTAAGAAAGCTAACACATAGGCAGAAAAACTCTCTTAAAGGAGACCAGTTTCTTGATATAGAGTTAGAAGAGATCCTAGAGGTCACCTACTTCAACCCTCATGCTCAGTGTGGGCATCAGCAACTACAGCCCCCCCCCTTAAAGGAGCAAGTGATTTTAAAAAATGTTTTTAAATGACTGGAAAAAGCATTTACAGGAGAGATTCTTGTGGGGGTGGAGAAAGGGGGTGGAACCCCTAAAAGCCCCACCGTAGCTACAGGCCTGGTGTGCACACACGCGTCTTCAGGTACACTGTATCTGAAGAGATACACTGTATCTGAAGAGAGCTCATACCTTGAATAAAACTTTGTTGGTCATAAAGTTACCACTGTTCTGCTGCTTCAGTCCAACACTGCTACCCACCTGAATCTAACTACTGGTCTAGTCATTGTTCCTTCCCTTTCCAAGTTCTTCAGAATGCTGCTTCCCCTTTTGTTTTCCATTTTTTTAGAGTGCTGAATATAAATTTATTCATACTTTTTCATTCATTGCCATATTCAAAACAATCACAATCACTTTAAAGATAGTTGCAAAATTGTTCCAGGAATGGTGATGAGGTGGGTCATGTTACAGGCACCAGCCAGTCCACACCAGACATTGCAACTTATGAAGCTCATGCACTCAACTGGAATTTTCAGAACTTAACATATACAGGAAAGGAACATTTTAATTAAATGCTATGAGAGAACGTAGACAGTTGTCCTACTGTGAAAATGTTACTATCATGTTCAAAACACAAAGATTTATCCACTGTTTGGCCTCAAAGGAAAGCATACTACAACATTTGAATATATCAGTGCAAGAAAAAAAAGAAACAAAGATTTGTTTGTTTGTTATTTCGTCCTACCTGTGGGTCAGAGAGTCGAGATAGATCAGGGTACAAGTAGAATTTTATTCCCTCAGAGGCCCCAGGAAGTGTTACTCCTCGTATCAGCAGAACCAACAGCATCATGTAAGGGAAAGTAGCAGTTACATATACAACCTATGAACAAAACAGACAATACACAGTTAGGAATGCACAACCCATACACTTTCAGTTCTTGTAGAGTTTCCTTATATTGAAGAAGTTCAAACTCATCCTACCTGATTTTTTTTAAAGAATGTGAGTTCAGCTGTTGCCAAATTTTGTTTTATGGTTTTATGCCTATCATTATTAACATTTAGTGTTTTTTCTGGTTGCTGAATAAAAGGAGGAGAAAAATTATAAGGAAAAGAGAGGATGGGATCTTCACATAGGGAAGGTAGCCTTTGGAGCAGCACAAAAGGGAACTGCAACTTCCTGAGATCTCCAGAGCAATACTACAACAGATAGGGGTTCTAGGAAAAAAGCCCACGGTAAAAAGCCCATGCTCGTAAATCCTCACAGGAAAAAAGCCCACGTGTAAATAAGCCCACATGGAAAAAAACTCATATACATAAAAGCCCACACGGGAAAAAACCCACATGGAAAAATACCATTGTTAGTTTGTGGCAAGCGAGGTTCCTCTGCAGTCCATCATATAGAGACCACACACCAGTGTTCCCTCTAAGCTGAGTTAGTGTGAGCTAGCTAGATCACAGGTTTTTAGCCTCCAGTTTACAGATTTTTGTCTTCGCTCAGGAAGGATGGCTCCAGAGCAAACTGATTTATGCAGTAGCCAAATTGCTAGCTCACAACTGTAATGCCAGTAGCTCACAATGTAGAATTTTTGCTCACAGCACTCTACACCTTAGAGGGAGTATTGCCACACACTAGGATGACTGCTGTGGAATAGAATTAAGAGCACTACAGGACATGGTTACCACTTCTGTTGTTATTTGTTATTTAATGTTGTCTTATGGTTTTGTTATCTTAAGCTAAGCTTCATAGATCTATGAAGCCTTAACTACTTCTACTATTTAAGAAAGAGAAAGAGGAGGAGGCGGTGGCTGAGGAGGCTGGGTAACATAATTAACATAAGAAGAACCCTGCTGGATCACAGGAGTCCCTGCAGTTGGTAGGGACTGATCTTTTAGTTTCACAATGGGACCAGAGATATAAAAGGAGTAGCCTGGTGTGGTTCAGGCCTTTTATTATCCAGGCCCTGAAGAAAGCAAGACTTTTTACGTAGGTAAGTTCTCCACACATTTTCCTCTTGCTGAGGGGCAAAAATCAGATGCTGGGAAGATGTTAATTTAGTAAAGCATGGTTTTTCAAATTCTGTTTCTCATTCATACGGTTGTGGGAAAACTAGAAAACAGTATGCCTGCAAAAAGGTATCCAAAGCAGCCAGTTATCTTTTTTGTACTTCTTCAGTTTTACTTCTGAGTGATCTCCAGCTCTCACCTGGAAAATGGCAACAATGGTTTCCCAGGAGGAAATGGCTGGTTTGGAGGGTGGAATCTGTGGCATTGTACCTGTCTGAGTTCCCATTCCTCCTCAAACTCCACCCTCTCCAGGCTCCACCCCTCAAATCTCCAGGAATTTTCCAACCTGGAGTTTACAACCCTATCTCCTTCCCAGCCAACTGTTACGAATGAGACTGATATTTTGCTTTCTGGATTTATATTTGCTGTCAGACACTACATGAACTTTGCACAGACACCCATAGGCTCACAGAAAGCTGAACAAGTCTTCTGTTGTGACATTACACATACAAGGTGACTGATCTAAGCCTTGCATGTTAATGAGGTTTCAAATACACAGCTACAAGCCTGAGGGAAGAAACCACACATCACCATTATTGTCAGCAAACAACAACTTAGGGAAAGCAACCCCCATTGATGAACTGTTGAAAGACACGTAGTACACATCTCTGCTTTACATCTGAATAAGCATTTCCTGCCAGATGCTTCTCTGATTACCTGGGAAAGGCCAAGCTTCATCTGCACATTAAGGAGGTTCCTTGACACCAAATTTCACACTTGCCCAGATGCCATTCCTTGAGTTAGATCTAGTGTTACAATATTGGCCCAACCCTTTAGGTTGCCACCCCTCACTGCACGCAGCCAATGAGGTTAGTTTTGGGACGGACTAACAGGTAGGTGGGTCCACAGGCTGGCTCAGTTGCCACCCACCCAAAAATCCACCTATAAAAGGTGAAGACCAGCTGCCTGACTGCTGCTAGCCACCACCCCCCACCACCCCCTGTCTGCTGTAACCCCTCTTTTGTCCAGCTCTCTATCTCAAAACCCTTGCTTCTACTTGATCTCTTGATCTGCAGTCAAGAGACCCACACTAGCTGGCTGGTTCTAGCAGTGTGTTAAATATCCCTAGTCTATTTTTCTGACCTCTCATTCTTCATTGTGATGGACAAGCTTCAGGACAGATAAGTGTTGCTCTTTATCACCCAACCTGTGAATGCAGAAGTGATTTTTTGTTACCTCGTATTCCTAAAGACCTTGATTGAAAGTGTGTGTGCTTCAGTATTGTGATTTATATATATATATATATTCTTAAGTAAAAGACAGATTATTTTGGAACCACCAGCCTCGACTCTTTTACTGATAAATCCTTGGGGTGGACTGAACCTTGGTATAGCTGGCAAAAGCAACGCAGAGTAAAATATGCCAACTGTTGTAGATAAAGCAGTTCGGCTAACACAACCATCAACCTACCATTATCTGCTCCTGATCTCTACCATCTGGAGAGCAGTTTTAATTCTGAGTGATCTCCAGCCCTCACCTGGAGATTGGCAGCAATGATTCCCCAGGAGGAAAAGTACAGTCTTTCTCCACAGTGGAAACCAAAGCAGATTACATCATTCTCCTCTCCCTCTTTTGATCTGCACAACAACCCTGTGAGGTAGGTTAGGCTGAAAGTCTATGACTGGTCCAAAATCACCTTCTCAAGTTCTA